TGTAGAATATTGCCCCTCAGTGGTAACTTTTGGCGTCGCACTCGTTTGACATTTTGTGAACCGAGATAAAATCAAGCCTCCGTTTTATTCTATTTATGAATCGGCTGCTAAGTTATCGGCAGCATATTGGTTTTAAAAATGACTTTTACCCGAAAAAATTGTATTAACAAGTCAGCTTTTCAAGTATTTAAATATTGTGTTTGATTTTTGTAACTCACGTACTATTTATCAGACTAGCGACAACAAAAAATAGTTGGATTGATGTTTGCTGGTCTTCCGCCATTCACCTGGTCTTATTTCAGAAGAACCCTGTGTCTGTAATCTGGGTAATATTTATGATTGATGTATGCATCTACTATAGGGCTTTATCTAGTCGCTATCTGCCACTGTGAAAAAAAACATTTGAGCAAGTAAAATAACTCCACGCATGCAAACACATCATTTTGTGCAGATTTTATGACTGATAACAAAACAAATCTAGATAATTTTTTCCGGATTTTATCCCGCATCAGAATATTTTGTGAACAACCGCTCTCATAAAAAACTGAGGGTTGCAAAGTTTAGGAAGAATCATTCCGACGCTAAATGAGTCCAGGTGTGCCATCAAAAAAATAGAACCATCACATTAAACGTAGATGGTTAGTTTAATTTTCGTGAACCAAGATAAATGGTCCAGCTTAAAGATATCCGGAACTGATAAAAGAAACCTCCGACACGTGGTAAAAAATGTCCAACCAAGCGGGGCGCTTTTTCCTTGCAGGTGCTCACGTAGCTGTGCCTTGGATTGATTGCCTTTCAACTTTCACTACACAGAAAACCGTGATGGATGTTTGATTTTTATCCTCTCAAGACTAACAAATTTGAGAGAACATATTTTACAGAACGTTTCATAAACAGCGCCGTCACAGTGGAGATGCATCGCCCACTTGAGAAAAGATGGATTTATTGGACTGTATAATTCCGTAGATCTTCTGTTATTCTGAGAGCCCAATTCCCTAGAGAAATGAAAAAAACAATACAGGAATTATGTATTTCATGGATTTCTCCGCTTCCTAGAAATACTTTTCAACACCTTTAGACTTTTCCTCATGTAAGATTTGTTTGTATTCCGTTTGGCGTGCGTGTTTGATCCAATTCAATCCTGGCATCTGAGTGTTCCTCGGAATTTTAGCTCAACTTCAGTGAAAATTTTCCACACATGTCATGCCTGTTTGGGACATCCAGACTTGATTCAAGTAGATCATATGGTTGACGGAAACTCGGGGACTGCGCCTACCTGATGGGCCCCAAGAAGGGTGAAACCGGTCGTGGGCTGTCGAAGAGTTTTCAGCAACCATGTGAGTAGTTTCCTTTAATAGAACCTTATATATCGTTCAGCTGTAGCATCTTTTCAGTGCTTAGCTGCCCGCCAGCAGAACGAAGCACAGGAGCTGGCATGGTTCCAGATTGACCAAGCCTAGACAGGGGAAGTCAAGGCAGAGACCGGCTTTAAACCACAGACCTTCCGGTCAGGGAATTCGCGCTTCAACCACTTGAGCAATCTCGCTCATATATCAGTTACGGTCAAAGTCTGGTCGCAATGACTCAATCATCGCAGACCATAGGAAACCGAAATCCATGGCACCGGGTATTTCAGAAAATATTGAAAATGTATATAAAGTTCTTGAGCTCACCAATTAAGATGACTATTTTGGGATATGGCCGTCGTCAGTAAAATGGGTTTCGTCAAAAAACTAGCTATTCTAATTTAATCTTTAACAAAATCGTGTGTGCAAAAAATCTCTGCGGTTTTACACCACAATGCTGGTTTACACACATTTCTTAGAGCTTCTATTGTACAACCATCTAACTGACTGTCCATCAAGTTAGTTGCCTACACATTAATTATGCAGCCTAATTTCTCATCCCCTCTCACCAAGTTTGGTGAAGACAAAACCCAAAGACAGCTAGACAGTTTTCTAATCAAATGAATGTGAGTGAACTTGAGCGGAAGTTGATCCGTGAAGATAAATCTTTTCTTTTGTCTGCTGGACCCATAGGGAAACGAAACAATGGATAAACATTTATTCAGAGAGTATGCTGACTTTTGCAAAAAAATGTTCTGTTTAGTTCCTGGGGAAAAACCTACTATAATTATGCTAGACCTTCATTTGTACGTCTTTCTTACTTCATATTTCTCCTTTAGCTAGAGAGTCACCAATGACTCGAGCCGATTGTTGTTGTGCGTTTAATTTTACAAGGAGCTGCAGCTTGAAACCTGTTAACCACTGCGCGTTGTCCTTTCGTTCACACATACCAGCCTATGACGTTTATGCGCCCACAAAAAAATCGAAATTAAATGTGAACTGTCCCAACATGACCGTGGCCTTATTCATATCATCGTTTGTGTTCGATAGGTAAGCCTGTCCTTAAACCATTCTGTGTGGGCGTGAGCAACTTTGTCGCCGTCGTTTCTGATAATCGACCAACTATGTGAAAGGGCACCTTAACGAATGTTCCCCTTTTTTCACCCCATCACTCAATATGGAGTGAAGACGATCTGACTTGCAGCTACTTATTTTCCAGAAGAAAATAAACAAGTATATACGAATGTGTTGCCTCATCAACAAAGTTTATAGTGATTATGCATACTACGGTTTCTAGGTGCTTGGACAGCGCGTTGACCGACTGTTTCCACTTATCTCTTCAGAGCATTCGCATGTTTGATTTTAGGCTTATAGAGTTTTGTGAATGAATTCCAGAGGCCATTGTCAATTAGAGAGTGGGATTGTGAATCGCTTGATCAGGCGTGATCACCCGGTGCGAGAGGTAAACAGCGCTGTTTTGATTTAGCCCGGTATGCTTCGTCAGACAAGCAGCTCTAATCATGATTCTTCGTGTATAACTCACCTTACGATTGGCCACAACAAGGCCTTTCTGGATGCGTTTGAACGTTTACTGATTGGCCCTTAGAACGTTGGTCTCCTGCAAAAACATCCTCCTCGCCTAAGTCTGTGAATCAATCCATTCAGTCTGGTAAACCTCTGCCTTGGCAACTGGAGATTTTGAACAATGTGAACATTTAAGCCTCAGCCGGCTAACGCATTTACCATGACTGATACAATTTCCTCACTGCCTGTGTAAAAATCACCAAGAATGTTTAGTCAGCATAGGGGGACCAATCCCTGACACACAATTCATAAAAGCTGAAAATAAATTTTGATATTTTCAGCTGTCTCCGGGTCACTGCTGAGGCCACTCACGATGATACTAACTTATTAGCACACAGTACGGGTTTGCAAGAGTTACTTCAGCTTGCTACATCACAAGAAAACCAAGCCAGATCATGTCAGACCTTCATACGATGAAGAAATTATATCGTCGTTCACTTAAAAAGTGGCGACAGAGAACTATTCGGCCACAACCAGAATAAACAATCTTTAGGGGGTTTGTCGTGTGACTAAACGGTAGGAAATTCCGAAAGGCGAGGAATTCTCCGCTGTGAGAATCATCGGTTCGATCAATCGCACGTCGCTTATCCCAGTTAAACTAGCGGTTCAGATNACATGTTTACGGGGATCGTGAATGCCAAGCTTATTACTTTAAACCTTGGCACAGTGGAAAACCTTTACTTCTACTAGGACTTGTGGACATCACAATGTCTTCTAAGAAGTAAAATGTCTTGGCTTCATCTCTTTAGTTGCATTGATAAAAAATCATACAACGCCAGTGCACAAGGGACAGCTGGAGTCATGCCGGACTGAGGCCGTTTTTCTCTTGATCCCACCAAATATTGCCCTATATATACTTTGAGATTGCTCAACTCTCTGAACTTGTTTGTGCACATTACCGTGTAGATTCAGCTGAGGGGTCCAAGAAATACATAAAAACTGGTCGACTCTGCAGGCGTTCACCTGTCCAAGCCTCAAATTTCAGGAGCTCCGAACAGCAGAAGCAAATGCATCGTAAATTTGACCAAAGATTTTGATTTACTTGACGTGGTTTTCCCCTCATCTCCCCCCTTCAGGTTGTCAGAATTCAATCTTATTACTTAAATGTGACCTATTTCAGTGACATTAAAAGTGCGTGGAGGTTGATGAAAAATGTGAATAACGGTAAAATAAATATGGAGAGTTTCACATGGCCGTCCTGTTGGGTTGCGGTTGTCCGATCAACAGCCCAGGAACAGTTTATCCTGATAACTGTTCCGGTGCACCTGGCCGGTACACACTTGTTATTATATGCGGACATCACCGAATGACAGGTCACAGCTAGTTCGCCTGACCATCGAAGTTTGCAAAGTTGACATCCGTACTGTATTGTACAAAAATTAGGAGTAAATCTCTTGGTCGCGTGGTTGGGATGACTTTGGAATCGGCTCCACTCAACGGCCGGAAAAATATGCTTCTCGGGGTATTTCTGGTCTAACTACTAGATGCTATTCGCTACGCTGTCTTCGAACACCGCAGACTAATGTTCGGTTTCTCAGTGAATCTCAAAGCACTGGTTATTCAGTTGTGCGTATTACGATTTCACAGAGGTTGTCCAACTAAAGATGATACTACTAACAGTTTCTTGGCGTAGTTTTGGTAGAGTTAACACCGTAAAAAACTATGTCAAATCCATTTATTTTGTTGTGCCAAAAAGGATTTGAAAATAAAGGGACCAAAGTCTACTGGCACGCAACTGTTCATTCCATATCCACCGAAGAAAAAGCACCGTATTGCACAACACAGTAAATACCGCTTGATGACAAGGCGTAATCGCCCTAAGTGCTCAGCTCTACAAGTAAAGTAGTGTTACTACAAATGTTACTACGAAAAAATGAAAAAATTCACGATGAATGTTTAAGAGATTCACGAAAAGAGAGTATTTATGCGATGTATTTTTTAGCCAGATCACACGGGAAAACATCAAAGCTTTTTGTACAGTTAGATGTGTTCAGAACAGACCACCACTGTCGTTTGATACACAAACGTACAAGTAACCACCATTTTTTCTTGTTTTATTCAATCTAATAGGATGACCCACCACAAAGCGAAGACCTCCCATCCTCCGAACTGCAGCCAGATTTACAAAAACCTACTAAAACACCCCTATTTTTGGAGCAAGTGAATATTCCCAGGCGTCAAACGGAACATTTCAAAAGTTCATCAACCACAGGAGACTATCAAGTTTCCTCGCGTGTTTGTGAAAAGGAATCGGTTGCCGCACTACCCGATTTTCTTCCCTATTCTCAAAGAACCCAGGGATCCATGAAACGTAGTAAGATGTAAGTTTTTTCTGGAGAAAGGCAATATGAGTTCACTTTTCAACATTGGTGAGCACTAAACCTTGTCGGCTTATTACCCCAAAGTTGTCGTACCTGGTCTAAGACTTGGACAGTTTTCGTTTTTCCCCTAGGATGCTTTCCAATGATAACATCTATCAGCCTGTCTGGCTTTTTTTTTTATACGTTATCTATTTTTAGATAATCTGTCTCGAAGGGTAACATTAGGGAGTTGCCTAACAACGACGAGTACAGGTTGGGAGAAATTAGGCGCATGGTCTTGCTGAAATAAAGTAGGTGGGGTTACAGTATAACAACAATACACTACGTATAGGGTCGCTCAAGGCCCCTCGACACCCCATTGATTTTTTTCACTGTTCCTGAAAACGATCAGTTGAGAGCAGTTTTTAGCTTCCACCAACTAGGTGTTCTGATTGGACACTGGACTAGTGGAGAAATACACTCATTTGCAAATTAATCTAGCATCAGTCGCAGACGTCTCTGAGTCCTGCCCGCGACCCCCTTTTATGACTGAATAGGCTGCATAAACGCTTCAAGCGGGGGAGACTTCCGGGTACCAAAGTACATTTTTTTTACAATAGTATAACTTCTAAAATTTTCACGGTTTGAAGACTAACTTTTCAGTTGATTTTGCCGCAAAGCTGACGTAGAACACTAATTTTTCTCGGAAAACAAGACATCGTCGTTTGGAAGGACCCCAAAAGAAATTTCCCTGACAGAGTCAGTGAAGACTTTTGAAAGAGGTCAGTGAGAGACGGCAGCATGTTGCCAAAGTTTCCGTGGTTAGGCTCAAATGGGAAAGACAGCGGTTATTGTAACAAGACCCGTGGCCAATTTTTCCATGAGCCCCCGTATTCCTGTTGAATACCGAACATAGGACAATCAATAAACAGATAATTTATAATCGTAAGAATCAACTATTGTGTGAATTATGTATACCAAGTGAAGACTGTCGGAGGCGTTGCTACCTACAAACTAATTGTTTATTCTATAATTTGTTTATCAGATGTGAACTCACTCTGCGGTATTTCGTTTAACCTCCTTGGAGATGTTAGACATGTGTACCAGTGCGATGCGCCCTTCATCTTCGATAGATGGAAACACTGTAGTTTTTCAGGTTAGCTACGCGAGACAAGCTTTTGCTGAGTACGTGCCGAAAATCGACTTGTCTTTTGCAGCGAGGTGTTCCAGAAACCGGGTTTGGAGAAAATGGATAATAACAAAGTGTAACAAAGATATTCGAAAGATACTGGGAACAAGGTTATTGATTCCAACAAAACGTAGTCGACTGTTTATTCCACCCGAAGCACCTTTATAGATACATTTGTTCGATTCCATGACTACTATGACATTGTCTTGTCAAAAGGATTTGCCGCAAGTGCAAGTAACGACTAAAAACAAGAAAAAAACTTTCAGGAAATATACAGAATAAAATTATGCAGTTTCTGGTGGCTGATTTTTCCTCATTAGTTTTTTTCGGTTTTTCTAACAGGCACTCTGTAGTAAGCGAACTGATCGACGACTGCCTTGTACGCATTTCCTTTCATCGACAGGCCTGGAAAAAGGTAGGCTCGGCCACTAAAATTCACGTTATCATCTTCATCATCATCATCATCAACAGCATGACATCAGTGCTCAACACCGATGCTTCACTGCCTTACAATCATGATTTATTTGAAAGCCTTATTGTGAATGAAAGAGTAAAGATAGACGGGTAAGGGACCTGGTGCTAGCTTACCACAATCATTCTGAGGTGCCTATATCTTCAGACAATCACTCAGGCGATCTGGACAGAAACTGACAACAAAAACGCCACTGACATCGGTTGGCAGTAGTTGTTGTTTAGTGTCTCCAACCAGGCACAGTGAGGATCACGCGTTCCCCATCCTGGAAAGCGAGTAGCACCGACAGCACCCAAGCGTTTCGCGATCTCCTTTATACTCCTCTGCCAAGTCAAGGGTTGACCACCTCTCTGCTTACACCACTTTGAATTTTGCATAGAAAACAGCACTCTCTTCGGCAAACAATGGTTCGGCATACACATGTCCCAACCAAGGCAGCTTCTGGTGCTGGACACATTCTTCAATGGAAGTACTCGCTGCACAACCGAAAACGCGATTTCTAACTGCCTCATTAGAAAGCGCGTTACCGCTCACATTATCTCAAAATCGGTAGAGGCTAACAACCAGTGTCATACTCACAAAAAACCCTAATCTTAATAGAGTGGTTATGGGTTTCAATTAGTGCATATCCGCAAACATTTGTGAAGTTTTTGGAGTGAGTCAGTTATCTCTACCTTGTGGCTACTTATTACCTCAGTGGATTTCGCATTTTCTTTAACTTGACTCGTTCTTGGTAGCTTCCTGTTCTAAGTTGATTGCCAGCTTCCGCATTACATTGGTATCTGTTTTCCATTCTTCCATTGGTCGATTAATCGGCCTGCTTTTTGGAAGTTTTAAGCTGACTTGTTAGCTTGTTTTCATCCTGCTTTACCCAGTTCCGATTTGGCAATCAAGTAAATCCATTCTTTTGGACAGGCAGTAGACATTTTCGGATTAAAAACGGAATCGAAAAACCAACGGACCACGCGAGAAAATAAGATTAGAACACGAGAGTAAAACCCAGACTGAAAAGCAAAGCTACGCGAAGGTAACCAGTCATTCATACGACGAAAGTTGGATTCTGTTCCAAAGCTATACAAACCCATCTGCGAATTCACAGGGGCCTCGGTTGTGGTCGAAATATTTTCACACTAGCTACTGAGTTTAACGAACAAATCAAACACTTTGAAATTCCTCCTCTGAAATGAGCTTTTGTGTTGATGTGGTCACACTAGCACAAAAAATGGCTTGTAATGCAACGATTTTAGGTTCACGGGTAGCCACGTCGAAATAACGGGATGAAATATGCACACAAGTTACGTTTGAATCTACGCCAACTGGCTCCTTCCACCATGAAAGTAATCCTCTCAAAAGACGGGCTATATCTTGTAACCATTCGAACTGAACTGTTTGACTCTGGGGTTGAAATTCTTAAAGCTGCGTGTGGAGCACTCTGCTGGGAGGCACCAAACTTAATGCGGCAGCTCCCATTGTCAATTTGTCACTTGAACGTTTTGTACGACCCGTTCAAGTCTTTATCTCATTCAACAAGATTGAATGAACCAGCGAATATACACTCATTTGCAAATTAATTTGGTTTTTTCCCGCCGATTCCGTGCAATTTGGTTTCAAGTGGTTTCAAGTGGAACATAAGGTTGACGGAAACTTGGGGACAGCGCCTACGTGATGAGCCCCAAAAAGGGCAAAACCGGTCGTGGAATATCGACGAATTTTCAACAACCTTATGAGTAGTACACTACAAAGATTGAATGAACTTTGACAGAACGCGCAAGTTACATGACGCGATGAACAGCCACTCGTGTTGACGGAGCATTTAGTATATAAACGTACCTGAGAAAAGACATTGCACTATAAGGTCAGCAAGTTTTGGATGGCCCATAAGACACTTTTGAATTTATACGCCGTTCACCGCATTCGTTCTAACATAGCCATGAGTTTCCTGTGAGACTTAGCAAACAATAAAACTGCGTCTAGTCTCCAAACTTGTACAAAATGTTGTCTCACTGTTGTGTGTCTGTACTCAGCTGCAATTGAATGATCGGTTAAGGAATTCAGCTCAAAATTCTGCAGAAAATCTGCGAGATATGCGTTTTTGTTTGCTCAGGATGTAAACTGGGAGGTAGGTGATTGCAGAAAAATCACATTTTTCGAGAGATTTTTCACCCACCTGATAAGTCTTCTCAACTGGTCTGACCATGTTCCTAGGCTGCATGAGGACGCAATCGCCCTTTTTTGTTCAAAAGGAGACTAGTTGGTTTCGTGCTACTCTTCATTAGTGTCCTCATTCTATTCAATTACATTTCGCGTTCTCCTTTTGCTAGCCTATCCTTGCGGGAAAAAGTGATTGTTTGAAATGGGAGATTTTCGGACAATTTACCTAGCAGCCCTTTCGTTTTCCGCACGTTGGTGCGCTCGCGTTGAACAGTGAATTGTAGCAGTTCACTGTTTATAATCTGGATCGCTCTGGTTTATGGCGAATGACTTCCGGATGTTTTTGCATAAAGTAACCAGCACTGTCTACGCTGTGTCATAAGTGCATTCACTAATGTTAGTCCCTTCCCCCCGCAAAGCCATTTCTACCGTTTCGATTTGATTTCCAACCGTTTAGAAACCTAGTGATGTGGGCGTAAGATAAATCCGTAGAACCCTTTGTTAAAGCATACCGATTATGAAAAACTGGAGGTGACTAAGTGAAAAGTGTATCATCTTAGAAACAGTCAGCAGTGTTTGTCCTTCCACACATGGCTGTGATTAGTACTAATCGGAAGTTACGTGGTTCGAGCCTGATATTTGCATCTCACTTCCTTGTCTAGGCTTGTTCAGTCTAGCAGTACCGCTACCCTCATTCTTGCTTAGGGTGGCGGCATTGCAGCCAGGCAGTGAAAGATTAATTTTTTACCACAACACTTATCTCAGACCCACTAAATGTGCTGGGTGATGAAACTGAGGAATTATGTCAGCGTGCAAACTCACATAAGTGACATTTTAACAACAATTTGGTGACAGTCCAGCAATTACTACATGAGATGCAGTATACTTATGTCATGAGGTCGATTTCTGTTTAAAATTCGTGGCAATTTTATAAGTTTATATTTCTAGTATAAATTCAATCTTCTCTGATAGAGCACCGGCTTTCGATAAATAATACAGCTTGAATTTAGTCGTCCTATCTGGAAGTCTTTCTAGGATATAAAGGTGCCTGCTGTGATGCTCACCAGGTTTCTGGTGACTGTCTAACTCTCACAATTCAGTGAGTGTCTGCCGCAGGATTAATGTCAGTGTGAAAATAATGTAGAACAAAGCAGTGCGAAGGACACTGAATGGCGCATGCAGAAATCTGTGCGCGATAATGGGAATT